TACTCTCCCCTTTGTGGAATAAATACTGAAACATCGCGAATGTCTGAATCAGATGTCTGTCTGAGCTGCATCTGATTATGTGCCAGAAACACCATGATAACAACACTCGCACCTCTGCAACTGGAGGTCCGTCTAATCATAATCTGCGTCTCATAACATAGTAAGCAGCCTACCTAGACAACGTTTCAATATGAAGTGTTTCAAACGCGCCTGCAATAATCTCAGAGACTGTGTGTGCTGTAGGCAGTTGACACACAACAGCTGGACCCGCCATCTGATCTAAAGCTTAAAGAGACAGATCATCCAAAAATCTCAATTCTGTCATCCTTTACTCACCCTCATGTCGCTCCAAACCTGTATGACGTTCTTTCTTAAGAGGATATTTTGAAGAATGATGTTAACCAAACGGTATTGACTCCAGTTGACATCCATTGTACAGACACTAAGATGTTTCTCAAGATATCTTCATTTATGTCCTAACGAAGTCATACAGGTTTGGGATAACATGAGGGTGAGTAAATAATGACAGATATTCGTTTTTGGGTGAACTATCCCTATAAATCAAACACTCACAAAATGACAGACAGCGATACCTACAGACACCACCCTAATCTACAGATACAATATAAACAAACAGCATAAAGACATCCCCTAATTGACCCAGTGCTTTTCAGATCTTAAGTACATAGTATCGTTTGAGCTAATCACAGGCCAACTCCTCCTCAAACTCCGTCATCCCCTTGCCCTTCAGCTCTCTGGTTAAACAGCGAGGTAAAGGATACTTGTTGGACGGATCGTTGCGTGGATGTGTCGGGGGACTGTGATTCCTTGAGCAGCTGCAAGATCTGCTGAAGTCCCTGCTCGTCGGGTTTCCACTGGCACTCCATCTTGTGTGGCTGGAGACTCTCTCTCTCTCTCTCTCTCTCGCTCTCTCTCTCGCTCTCTCTCTCTCTCTCTCTCGCTCTCTCTCTCTCGCTCTCTCTCTCTCTCTCTCGCTCTCTCTCTCTCGCTCTCTCTGTAGGCACACAGATCTAATTTACACCCTTTCACATCAAATAACGCCCACCACCTTGACCTTCAGCTTTAAGACCGGCTGTTATCGAGCGAAATATGAGGAAGACGCCTCTGCGAGAGTTTACTGTGGATAGACCCGTGTGAAAATGAGCGTGTTTCGCGGGCGGTGTGTTGCTGGTGACGCTAGGCTATCTTACATACATGGACTTGGTCTGGTCCGGATCACCGCACATCGACAGCGATAAGCCTCTCTGATGCACTGCCCGCCGGTCCTAGCGCCTGTCTGATTGCTGGCTGGATGAAGGGACTTGGCGGGGAAACCTTAATTATGACCCTTGAAAATACTTGCTACAAGCCCGGCTAGCTCAGTCGGTAGAGCATGAGACTCTTAATCTCAGGGTCGTGGGTTCGAGCCCCACGTTGGGCGATTACTTTATTTGCACCCTACACTGGCGGCATTGTTCTGTGAATAATGGTTACAATACAAACAAAACAACAGAATAAGATGCCACTGAATAAAACATAAAAGGGATAGTCCACCTTAAATGAAAATTCTCTCATCCTTAATTTTGTTGTGAACCTGTATAACATTGGTCTGTGGTACATCATTTTTTTTTTCTTTTTCGTTTCTTTTAGTTTTTTTCCCTTACAATGGAAGTCAAAGGTCACCAAAACTGTTTGCTTACCAACATTCTTCAAAATATCTTCTTATGTTTTCCACAGAAGAAAGAACATCATACAGGTTTAAAAGAGCATGCGGATGAGTAAATGAGGTTACAATTTAAAGTCCCTTTAAGACTGTTTAACTCAAACAAAGAGTTCAAGAGACTTGAATTAAAGGCACAATATGTAAGATTTTTTTATTAAAATATCCAAAAACCACTAGAACAGTGTTATATATTTTGCTGACTTGTGTACTTACATTATCCCAAATGTTTGGAAGAATGTTTATATCCAGAGAAATAAGCAATTTTAACTCGTGACACGGAGCGTGTCCATAGTGTCATTGTGTCGCCTGCCAATGACGTCATAACCAAATATCATAATACATCCAATATCACAATCAAATATATACGTTTTTATATATTTATGGTAGAACATTTACATAACCCCTCAAATCCTCGATTTGTTTTGTAGAAAACATGGAAACACCAGACGCTTTAGTATGTTGTGCGTTTTAATAGACCGGTGACGACCGCACAGAGTAGCATTATAACAGAACTTTCAAACGTATCTAGTATGATAAAACAGCGCTGCTTTGACGGCTTTCAGCCTCACCCTGCTTCATTCTACTACCTTAATAAATCATTAGCTCATCCATGAACATGATTTCTGCCCGAGTCCCGTCGGATTGCATCGGCTGTGGGGACGAAGACGACAACTCCCATGATTCCACACTCAGTCACCGCATCATCAAACTATGCCTTTGTCTATTTGTTTATTTTGAATTCGCGCCCTCTAGCTGCGAAAATTACATATTGTGCCTTTAACTGAAAAACCTGATTATCAGATTTGAATGAAAATGCAAATAAAATCTGATTATCAATTTCCAAATGTAATTAACTTTACTATAAAACATGTAAATACTTAATTTTATTTAATTTGCCCATTTTTGTTGTTTTATTCAAATGTCAACTGGGGAAATGTGTCACATATGTGACCCTGGACCACATCATAATGTCATAATGGTGAATAAATAAGCTGAATAAATAAGCTTTCCATTGATGTATGGTTTGATATGATAGGACAATATTTGGCTGAGATACAACTATTTAATAACGCATTTAAAGATGCCCAAATGAAGTTCTTAGCAATGCATATCACTAATTAAAAATGAATTAGTTTTGATAAATTTATGGTAGAACATTTACAAAATATCTTAATGGAACATGATCTTTAATTAATATCCTAATGATTTTTGGGTATAAAAGAAAAATCAATCATTTTGACCCATACAATGTATTGTTGGTTATTGCTACAAATATACCTATGCTACTTATGACTGGTTTTGTGGTCCAGGGTCATTTTGATGTCAAATTTCTGGACAAACAACATGTTTAAACATCAATACTAACACAGTATTTATTAACAATAAAATATGTTTTTATACATCTCATGCATGGATGACACTTTAACCACATACAAAACACACCAACACCGTTTTTTAGTGTTTATTACCATTTTAAGTATTGTATGTAGATTAACAGGATTGACAATTAAATACTCTTATGGAAATTAAGAGGGTTCAAAGTCATCACCTGACTGCTGCTATATATATGAATTTAGCTTAGTGGACAAATATAAACTACTGTTCAAAAGTTTGGGATTTTTTTTTCATCTTCTAAAGTAAGATGTTTTTGAAAGAGGTCTCTTATGCTCACCATGGCTGCATTTATTTATGATGCAAAATACAGTAAAACAGTATTGTTGAATAATATTACAATTTAAAATAACTTTTATTTAATGTAATGTATTCCCTGTGATGGCAAAGGTGAATTTTCAGCAGTCATAACTCCAGGCTTCAGTGTCACATGATCCCTCAGACAAGGTTTCTGCAGACTTGAACAAGTTAAATTTAAGACTTTTTAAGACCTTTTAATACCTTTTAATACCACCTTATATGAAATTTAAGACCTAAACCTGTAATGGAAATACACATTTTATTACATACATGTATGTAATATTTAATGTGTATAAATTAAAAAGAAAACAAAATATCAATGCTGTAATAAATGGTATTTATTACTATGATATACAGTGAACTTTTCATGTCAGCAGACAATATTCCATACAAAATATCTCCATTTTTGGTGGAGTAAACAATTTAGTTATCAGCTTTTACATATTTAAATCTGCATATTTACCTTTACAAAGGCATATTTTTAACCTTTTTAGATGTTTTGATGTCAAATTTCTGGACAAACAACATGTTTAAACATCAATACTAACACAGTATTTATTAACAATAAAATATGTTTTTATACATCTCATGCATGGATGACACTTTAACCACATACAAAACACACCAACACCGTTTTTTAGTGTTTATTACCATTTTAAGTATTGTACGTAGATTAACAGGATTGACAATTAAATACTCTTATGGAAATTAAGAGGGTTCAAAGTCATCACCTGACTGCTGCTTTATTCACATTTCATACATTTCCTCAAAAAGGAATACAAAACTGCACAAGATCTTAAATTAGAAAAACATAACTTTATTAAAGTGATTCAATTTTCAGTGTCACATGATCCCTCAGACAAGGTTTCTGCAGACTTGAACAAGTTAAATTTAAGACTTTTTAAGACCTTTTTAATACCACCTTATATGAAATTTAAGACCTAAGCCTATGGAAATACACATTTTATTACATACATATATGTAATATTTAATGTGTATAAATTAAAAAGAAAACAAAATATCAATGCTGTAATAAATGGTATTTATTACTATGATATACAGTGAACTTTTCATGTCAGCAGACAATATTCCATACAAAATATCCCTGCAAAATAAGTACATTTATTCTGAAGCATTATTTTCATCAGTGTTCTATCAGCTTTTACATACTTAAATCTGCATATTTAGAAAAACATAACTTTATTAAAGTGATTCAATTCCTTACTTGATTTTAACAACTGAAGGTAACAGTAGCTGGCAGAAAACATGAGGAGGTAGATGATGCCAAAGCCTGAGCCTGAATTGGCTGCATCTTCAGAGTGTGCAGTTTAAGAATACATCTTTGCTTTTGTAATATAATACACTAAATCTGAGTGTCTTGAACTCCCTATGGGTTCACTCTAGCAGTAGTGTGGACTGCAGAGTTCTACGAGTCCTTCGGCTAGTTTTTCTTTCCTGCTCCAATATTCCCAGGCATACAAAATATCTCCATTTTTGGTGGAGTAAACAATTTAGTTATCAGCTTTTACATATTTAAATCTGCATATTTACCTTTACAAAGGCATATTTTTAACCTTTTAAATCATCGATGGTCTGCTTGGTGAACTGGCCGGCCTCCTCTAACCGTCTCACCACCTGCTCAACCTTCCCCTCCCACAGCCCACCAACACTCTTGTTCTTCAATACATTAACCTAGGAGAGCAAGAAGGAACAGGGACAGGGAGAGAGACAAGAATGGGAGAGGAAATGGATTAAACATGCTTTACAATCTTTCCTGGTTTAATCTAATTATTGCTTTTCATACAATAGGTGTTTGGCTTCTGTATTATAAACTGAGGGTCTGATGTTCCATATTTATGTTTTTATATAAATTACCTGTCAAGTTTTTGGAGAAGTAAGAAAACAGTTTATATATATATATATATATATATATATATATATACATATATATATATATATTTAGCTTAGTGGACATTACATTTAATCAGTGAATAAGAATAAGACATTTGGGCTGTTACCAAGCAAATTAAATCGGTATCAACAAAATTAATCTTTGCAATCTGTGGCTTTATCTGGAATTATTTTTGTTGGCGAAATAGTGCAAAAACAGGCAATACTTTGCAATCTGTGGCTTTATCTGGAATTATTTTTGTTGGCAAAATAGTGCAAAAACAGGCAATATGGTATCTAAAACATAAGTCTCTTAATAAAACTTAGTTTATTGAACTGTTAAAAATCAATATCACATTTGTATATGGTAATTTTTGGAGAAAAAAAGGCACTCTTCCGTGTGAACTTGAGTATAAATATACACATTTTCTGCCCCCATGTCTTGAATTTGTGATCATTCTGAATGTATTTTAATAGACTGAATCATGCAGTGATCAGTAGGTGACTCTGTAGGTGTTTTGAATGTTTGTTTGTTTTGCGTCGTGAGAAAATTGAGTAAAATAGCTCACTTGTCATGGTGTTATTTAACTATATCATGTTATGAATAAACTAAACAGTTTGAATTTTTTCAGTTCAACAGTTTCTTCTGAGTTTATGTGTACTGTCACACTCATTTGTTCTGAAGTCTCGAGACAAACAGAGTGAGCCTTAGAGCGAGCTTGTATTCTGTTGTTCTCTCTGATGACGCCGTAACTTACCGCGGGGAAGAAAAAAATCTTCGGTCTGTCCAATGATTGTAAAGTCATTAGGTCTGTCAGACTTAAGAGATTTTAGCGGTAATTTAACTATATCATGTTATGAATAAACTAAACAGTTTGAATTTTTTCAGTTCAACAGTTTCTTCTGAGTTTATGTGTACTGTCACACTCATTTGTTCTGAAGTCTCGAGACAAACAGAGTGAGCCTCAGAGCGAGCTTGTATTCTGTTGTTCTCTCTGATGACGCAGTAACTTAACGCGGGGAAGAAAAAAATCTTCGGTCTGTCCAATGATTGCAAAGTCATTAGGTCGGTCAGACTTAAGATATTTTAGCGGTAATAAGACCAAAAATAATTAAGACCCATCAAATCCGAATTTAAGACATTTTAAGACTTTTTAAGGCCTTATATTAGGAAAACGTTATTTAAGACATTTTAAGACTTTTTAAGGACCCGCGGACACCCTGCTCAGAACAGCATTTTTTAAAATAAAAATCTTTTGTTAAATTATAAATCAATTTAATGCATTTTTGCTGTATAAAAGTATTACTCTCTTTAAAAAACATACTGTCCCCAAACCTTTGAATGGTAGTGTAAACTGTGGTGTCTTTACAAATCTAAACTTTTAATTCATTTCATTTTTTAAATGAATGAATTGGACCGTTTAAAATACATCCCAGAGTACACCTCCAAATATGATGAGTTAGAGTTTTGATTTGTTTTAGTCATTTAGTGACATAAAAGTTTGCTGCTTAAACTGTTGTGGTGTTCATTCACATTGTGTAGAGTGATCAGATGCATTTTAAATAATTGCTAAAGGCTTCATTGACCAAAAAAAAAATCAACTTTTCACAAAAAAAAAAAAAAAATCACTGTTTGATCCTGACACAAAATGACCAGCTAACATTAATTGACTAATCATATCAGCAGCACATGTGAATGTGTGAATGAGTACTAGTCGGGTTAATCACTATCATACTAATTCGATTGTAAGAGCAGACTGATTGCCATAAAAGGAGGGAAGATAATCAACTTTTCACAAAAAAAATAAAAATATTCACTGTTTGATCCTGACACAAAATGACCAGCTAACATTAATTGACTAATTATATCAGCAGCACATGTGAATGTGTGAATGAGTACTAGTCGGGTTAATCACTATCATACTAATTCGATTGTAAGAGCAGACTGATTGCCATAAAAGGAGGGAAGAAGTGCTTCCAATAATTGTGTTCTTGTTAGCAATTGGTTACCTCCAAAGAAACGCGTGCAGCCATCATCGCTTTGCATCAAAATGGCCTCACATGCAAGGAAATTGCTACAAAGAATATTGCACCTGAAAGAATCATGTACCAGATCATCAAGAACTTCAAGGAGAGAGGTTCGACTGCAGTGAAGAAGTCTTCAGGACGTCCCAGAGTGTCCAGCAAGCACCAAGACCGTCTCCTCCTGAGGTGTCAACTACAGAATCGTGTCACCAGCAGTGCAGAGCTTGCTCAGGAATGACAGCGGGTTGGTGTGAGAGCATCTGTACGCACAGTGAGGCCAAGACTTTTGGACAACGGCCTGGTGTCAAGAAGGGCAGCAAAGAAACCACTTCTCTCCAAGAAAAACCTCAAGGACAGACTGAAATTCTGCAGGAAGTATAAGGATTGGACAGCAGAAGATTGGTGCAAAGTTATTTTCTCTGATGAAGCTCCCTTCCGACTGTTTGGGACATCTGGGAAATCGATAGTTCAGAGAAGAAAAGGTGAACGCTGCCATGAGTCCTGTGTTGTGCCAACAGTGAAGCATCCTGAACCCATCCATGTGTGGGGTTACTTTTCAACCAAGGGAGTGGGCTCTCATAATTCTGCCCAAAAAATCCTGCCATGAATAAAGAATGGTATCAAAACGTCCTGCAAGAGCGACTTCTTCCAATGACCCATGAGCAATTTGGTGATGATCCGTGCATTTCCCAGCATGATGGAGCACCATGTCACAAAGCAAGAGTCATAAAGAAGTGGCTCGAAGATCATTACATTGAAATTTTGGATCCGTGGCCAGGCAACTCCCTGGATCTCAATCCCATAAAGAACTAGTGGTCAGTCCTCCAAAGGCGAGTTGACAAGCAGAAGCCCACAAATTGTGATCAACTCCGAGAACTAATAATGCAAGAATGGATCGCCATCAGTCAGGATTTGGCCCAGAAGCTAATATCCAGCATGCCAGAGCGAATTGCAGAGGTTATGAAGAACAAGGGTCAACACTGTAAATATTGACTCATTGTATTTATTTATTTATTGCCAATACAAGCCTTTAAAACTTATGATATGCTTATCAATGTTTTTCAGTATACCATAGACGCGTGAAAAAAGAATCTACAAATACTGAAGCAGCAAACTTTGCAAAACACAAAATTTATGTCACTGCCAAAACTTTTGGCCACGACTGTACATAGCTAACATTGATGATTGCATAATTCCATTTGTGTTAGTTAATAGTTTTGATGACTTTACTATTACCGTTAAATGTAGTAATAATTATGAGGTGTAAACTAGGTGTGTCCAAACTTGACTGGTGTATCTGATATCTCACCACTTCCTGAGAGAACTCCGGTTTCTTCACAAACACTGGAGTCTTTGACACTAGGGCTGTTGTGAGGGCAGAGACTGCTTCTTTCATGGACCCTTTCATAGCCAATATGAGAACATAAACACAGAGCAGTTAACATATGCAAGCTCTTTCAAAGGCTGATTTAGATAAACACACACACACACACTTACCCTTAGGTTCTGGCCCCTTCGACTGTCCGTGCTCATTATCTGAGAGTAGAATGCCTGGGCTCTCTCTATATCATTCTACAACATATATCAGGTCAAATTAAAAGTGATTTACTCTTAATGTCAAATTATTTTATACTGTATATAACATAGCATACTCTTAGTATATCAAAGATGCAACATTGTCTGTGATTCAATAATTACACAATATCTGAATAACTTTTAACAACTAAAATCTGATATTACACCAATCTACTCGATTTAAGGCATTACATACCATACATTTATCCTTTAATTTTAAATTAGATATAGATATTTCAGTCAGCTTACCTGTTTGAGAGCAAGAGCAGCTGCAAAGCAGTAGGCATGTCGAGGAATGAGGCTGCCTTTTGTCTGACCTTCTTCCAACAGGGTCAAACAGATATGATACGACTTTGAGGTGTTCTGCCAATCCCAAGATACAGAAATAGTTTATAAATTATACTTATTAAATTATTTTGTCCTTGACAATACTTGAAATTACGGTGAGAAGCTACTGTCTAAAAACAAGCCAAAACATTGTAACTGTTTAGAAAAATTGTAGACATTTTATTGTTCTGAAAATAGTTTGTCTTTTCTGGGATTCAAGTAACTCTTTGCTAATTCTTAATGGCTTTAATACAAACTAGCATACAATACTTGCTTCTAAATTTCCTTTACCAGTTTATAACACGTTGCAAAGGCTAGCATGAAGGTGTCTTTGCTGAATGGCACTCCTTGTTTTTTCATTTCTCCCACCACCTCCAGGCAACCTGTGAGAACATCATCAGTGACCCACATCACATAGACTGAAACCATGGCAACAGACAGACCATTTTGCATTTTTGCAGATAGGAAGCAGCATTGGTGAAGTATTTGATTGTGGTGATCGATTCCCTCGTGAATCACAAGCATTTGTCTCACTGGCCTTTTTAATTTTCAGATGTGTCAGCTCTTTATTTCATACAATTTTTTTGAACCCAACAGCAAGGGCAATGGGAGCACAATACAAATCATATTGATTGTTTCATACTCCAGCAGAACGGAGAGATAAGCAGAAGAAACTTACTTTTGTAACACTGTTTAGTGAAAAGCATGTCGATAGCAATATTAAAGGATGTAGAGTCCGAAAAGAATCCTTTGAGAGCCTATGCAAAAAAGATGATGTCAAATTTCACTACAATTCATGTCCATAGTCATGGTGTAAAATTTGTTAATTTTCACATACTGGATCTGTCAGGGTTCTGGCTCCCAGCTCCTCTAAACCCAGCTCATAGCATAACCTCATGAAAAGAGGGCCAAACTTGAATTCCCCAAATGCCATGTTACGATTCTCTTCATGGTACCTGAAATGGACAGAAATTAAAAGAGAACAGTGTTATAATATATACAAAAACATATCCATATGCAGAAATTATGCAGACATCTAAATAATCTCTAACACAAACAGAATCATATTAAATATAAAAAAAAAAATTCAGATAAAGATTATGCAGAATGCCGTTAAATCACTATGAATTTGCTCTTTGGATAAACATAAACATAGTTTATAATAATATAAATAGTGTCCATTTCCCTACATACATTTTTGAGGCAGATTTACCTGTACATAGCATTTCTCGCCATAAAAACATCTTCAGCAGACTGGCATAAATACAGAAGTATTTTCAATTCATCCTTTAAAATGAGCTGTTTTTTCTCCATTATCTGATTTACCGTATCAAAGTAATAACCTGTTTTTTTTTTTAAAAAGTGACATTCAGGGTAAATGAGAAAATGACAATTAAAGGTGCACTCATTGCTTTTTGTTTATGTTGCTCTGGCCAATAGGACAGTTGCAGACATTTGAGGCATGAATATTGCAATAGCATCATGCATCACTACCAGCCATGATTCATTAATTCCACAAGTCAAATGATCTGATAACAGAGATAATGAGATAAATGAAGTAGTAGTCAGCTGGTCATGCGATCTCATGTCGGCTCCTACGAGGCAACCCACTATCATGTAAAATAAAACAGCTTTTGATATGACTGCAGTCTAAATGCAATCTCATGTGGGTGTAAATGTTTTTGATAAGTTCTACTAATTTCTTTTAATGAGACAAATATGACTGAGTGCACCCTTAATGTAATGATATTCAAACACAAAGTGGTACAAAGTTATTTAAATCATGGCAAATGATGCCTGCCTTTTGATCTTGACACTTGGTGGGCAACAGCAAGTTTCCTCTGCTGAAAATCCTGCAGCTTCATCACATCTTCAGACAAGAGATAACGTTTAGCTAAAAAGAGCATTTGTAAACAAGTCAGTTTCTTAGCAATTGTTGGAAAACGTCTCTGGTTACCTCGGTTCCCTGAGAGCAGGAACGAGACATCATGGAGACATTTCTCCATTATGGGAACTCCTTCCCTTCCAACCTTTCTGAAGTCCTATTGGCTCACGCCAGTCCAAATGACTGGCCAATTGTCACGATGTATGCAAATCGCATGCAATACTGACGAGCTCAAGAGGCAGTATAAAATGCGATGCACACGACAATTACGTCAGAATCTGATACTAACTGAACGCCGCTTAGCTGGTCCAGCAGCGAACACGGCGACCTCCATGATGTCTCGTTCCCGCGCGCTCTCAGGGAACCGAGGTTATAGTACGATAGACATTCCCGCTCGAGCTTTCACGAGACATCACGGAGTAGGGCTGCACAATTAATCGAATTTTTAATCGCGATTACAATTACGGATGCCACAATTATGTAATTGCTCAAAGCGACAATTAATCATTCAAAGTCCACTTATGTTATTGTGCATGCAATCTACAGATTATCTCAAGGGTTTTTCCATTTATTTCATTTTAGTTTTAGCATAACATTATAATACAATGTATATTTTTACTTTTTTTTTTAAATAAAGAAGAAACCAATCCAATGTATAGTTGACATTTGAGGCTTAATTCTATAGAGAAGTAATAAAGTTTTTTCAGTTAGAGTGTTTTCAGCTCGTTTATTTTCATATAAAAATAGAGAATGCAGTTGCTTCAAACAATGATCATTCAGTGTAAACTGTGATAATCGTAATTAATAAATCAAAAACACAATTTCAAGGGAATAATCGACAATTATGATTTTTGTCATAATCGTGCAGCCCTTTCACGGAGACAATTCTCCGTTATGGGAACGTTATTCAATCCTGCCGTGAGAAAGGCTAAAAGCAGCCTGTACAAGTCATACACTCAGCGAAGATAGAACACACACACAATTCCCATAACTAATAGCGACCTTGTAGGCGGGCTCGCAGCTGATAGGTGGAGATAAGCCAATGAGCCTCTAAAACCCAGGTATACTAAATTTGCATATCTGGTGGTCAGACGGTCAGTAATAACGTAGGCTGCGCTGAGAACAGGGCAGAAGCAACAACAGTACTGGAATGGCTGCACAGAGATAACTGTTTAAGCAGCATAACACATAACATGATAATGGTAGCACAAAGTGAATCAGGCATGAATAACAGGAAGCTGCAGTGAGTACAGGGCAGACAACAACAACAATAGCATAGAGTGCTGCGCAGAGTAATAATGTGCAAGGCAGCAATAGACACACAAATAGAGGTAGCATAAACGTGAATCAGTCACTCACTGACAGCACTTGGGAGGCTAAGGACTGAACGTCCAGCTTGTAAAACCTGGCAAAGGTATTCTGAGACCAGCCGGCTGCAAAGCATATATCTTGAATAGACATACCTCTCGACCACGCCCAGCAGGAAGCGATAGCCCTTGTTGAGTGGGTCCTAATGTGCAAAGGGCATTCCAAACCTTGGCTCGTATAAGCAAACGTGATAGCGTCCACAATGCAGTGGGAAAGTCTCTGTTTTGACCCTTTGCACAACTACCGTAGCACACAAAAAGCTGGTCTGATTGCCGAAAGCTGGCCGAATGGTCAATGTAAATCCTCAAAGTTCTGAGAGGGCACACCGAAGTCTGAGCGTCCGCACCACGTGAGGTCGATGACTCAGAAGACAGGGCATACAGCAAAACAGTCTGAGCTCTGAAGGGGGTAGATAGTGATTTAGGCATGTGGCCCGGTCTCGGCCGGAGAGTGACGCTGCAGTCACCAGGTCCGAAGCGAATACAGTCGCTGTCCACAGAAAACACATGTTTTTCTGGCGAGGGCAAGAAGAAGTGCAGTTTTGAGAGATAGCTCCTTCATATCAACGGATGTTAAAGGCTCAAATGGTGGCTGTGAAAGAGCTCTTGACACCACCTCTAGGTCCCAGCGCAGAACTGAAGGCGGACACAGGGGATGCAATCTCCTTGCTTTCTTAAGAAAACTCACCACCAGCGCGTGCCTACCGATCGATTGCCTGCCCAGCAGGGAACGAAACAAGGCAATAGAGGCCACATAGACTTTCAGTGTTGATGGTAAACATCCACTATCCAGTCTGTACTGTAGAAAATGCAGAACATTCGACACGGAGGTTCTGACCACAGCCCCGAAACCGGCATGCCTTTGCACACTGCTCCCCATCCACGAGTCGATGCGTCCGTCGTGACCACAACGCGTGACATCACCAAGCCCAGGGAAACCCCCCGGCTGAAGAGATCTGGGTTGCGCCACGGCCTCAGAGCTTCGATGCAGCCACGAAGCACACCCCCAGATATGTTATAGACTGACTCGGGGCTCTTCTGCATGTTGACACATAGCCCTAGGGACTCCCAAGTGACGAAGCAGTGTGTCTATCCGTACGCTTTCTCTATGTCTAAAAACACACTAATACTTGTGTCTATAACAGAACTAATACTTCTTTATTAATCTGAGATTTTCTTATATCTGATTCTAGACTTAAAATTGCATCTGTTGTGTTTCTACCTTTTCACAGTGTACACTTTAAGCCTAGCACCTGTTTTTGTTGTCTGCTATCTTTACAAAAAAGTAGCAACTTTCCATTCCGTAACATTTTCGCATGTTCGATTTTCCCAATCTCTTCTTTGATCGCTTTAGTTATTTTCAGTGGGTTCAATGCATTCATATTATCGGCCAAGAAATGTAGCATTGCCTTAAACTCTTCCTTTTTCCTTTTCTCCTGTTGGTTTTCCCTTTCACTTTCCGAACCTGAAAGTTGACTCCATTTTTTTTTCCTTTTCCGATTTTCTACTATGTTACAATTTCCATTTTTACCTCCTTTCTCCCCGCCACTACATTCATCCTCTATGTCCAGCTCACTTCCTGATCCTACGTCACTTCCTTCCATCTCTGCTCCAGTCACACCCTAGTGTCGCCAACCGCCTCCGCCCCTGCTCACCTCTGTCTGAACTCACGCAGCAGTCAGTGTACACTTTCTATCAGTCCTGAATATAAGAATGAATATTTCAGCAGGTATAATTATTTAGATATATTTGTTGAACAACACATATTCTTAATTTTAACATACTTTGACAAATTGTATATATTATTAGCAATACAAACAACTAAAAGTATTTTACTAACCCCGGCACCCCCGTTTTTTAGGCCGAAATGGAACATTCCAATGTGGCGCTGTCCTGTCAACCGGTGTGTTTACAATGTGAGAAATACGTTATTTCTTTTAAGATAGGGAAACGCATATTAATTTTTAGACCGTTTCGATTGTGAATGTGGATGGACTTTTTTTCCAGCAGTGGTTTAAAACGCTTTGCATTCTTTTTACTGGTAATTTACACCCTACGTCTAGTAACACTAGATTTTTTTTAGCACATAACATTCACAGGGGATACATACAGAAATATTGTTTTATAGAACAATGTGACTCAGGTTGATGCAAAGCAATAAAATACATACACAACCAGGATACAAAACACAATGATATTCTACTAAAATAATCAGGCCAAAAAATAATAATAAAAAAATATAAAGAGAAAAACAAATAGATAAAAACCTAATATAAACATATTTTAAAAAGTAAATAAATTAACTAGAATAAATAATTACGCATAAGAATGTCATCTTCTAAGTATAACCTGTAACATTATCCGCACTACTATGTATATGCCACGGCAATCAGCAGATGGCGCTATGGACCACAGACTATACTCCTTTGAGATAAATAATCATAATAATTTTATTAGATTAGATTTCAATTGAGAAATACAGAACTGTTTTCGAGTTAAATAACTAAGCCAATAGCATGTTTGACGGAGACAAACAGATTTGTCTATCACTGATTAAAGATGATTCAATTAATTGTTTTAATATGTGCACTGATAGTTGGAAGACAATAGGACGTTGATTTGAGACATAGATTCCCTAGTTAGACTTAACACTGTCTTTCTGTCTGTAGTTGTGTTGTATTACAATGAAAAGAAGAGCTATTAGTGAAGAGCTAAATGTGTGTCTTTGCTTCCCTGGCTCAGCTGTTCTAACCACACAGCAGGAGATAATCAATTATCAGCTGGATAATTGCCCAGCTTCTTTTCTCTGCATTGAAAGGTCATTATTAATGACTGTGAGACAGCGTTGTTCTAATGCATATGCCAGAGTAATACATCATGTGTGACAAATTGTTCAGTTGGGAAATTTTATAAAGGCAGGTTTGATCTAAATGATTGCATGTCTTGTGTTTTGAGACTGTCATATATCATGCCTAGAGTCATCCTGTGAGTTGAAATGCACAATTGTTATCTTGATTTAAATGCAATTTATTAGATAAAAAGTCACAGAATCCTTGGTGTGACCCTGTAGATTTTGATGTTTGTGTTGTAGATAAATCCTTAGATGAGCATTATTTTAAGGGGTGTAGGTCATTGAAGTTGGCTCTGTGATTGATGACTGTCCAGGATTGACAGGGATTGAATTTGTGGCTGTAGCCAAGGGCATCTTCTCTGTTAAGCTGGACATAGTGCTTTTGCATGATAACTCATTCTAATGGGTGTATATTTCCATGCTTTCTGGTATACAGAAGTACATGCAAAGAGTAGGAAAAAATAAAGACGTATATGTAAAGCATATAAAGCTGACAGCATGACATGACCATACATTTTAGATTGTTATTTTATAGGGGGATGTTTCAAAAGACTTATGAGCTGATTGGATGTGAGAAGGAAATTTAAATTTGATTGCCCGCAGTTCACATAACTGTGTGATCAATTACAAGAAGTGCTGACAATGCAAACACAATGGGGAATTTATTTTTTTTTAAGATGGAGGGAAAGATCTGCAAGTAAACATGTTAATGTGTAGCTATACTTTAGGGACAGATTTGCCCTCAGATGTGAGTTAAATCTAACAAACCTCCCTTTGGAGAAAATTCAGACGTCCTTTATTGGAAAGTGACTCAAAGAGTACTAAAAATGCAATATATTTTTATTTAGGGGTTAGTTAGTACTTTGGTTTATAAAACTATAGAAGCCTGTACTATGTACGTGTATATAAAATGTGTGTGATATATGTAAGATGTTAAAGATAGACATTTATAGAACACTGATTATGTTATACTTAGAGTCCTTGTGTGGTCCTGGTGGGACTCTGCTGAGCGTTTCCTTAGCAACAGCACCTCACCCCATTCAGCTGAGACCGTCTTCTGCCCAATTGGAGGCTGACTCTCAAGTGCACTGGATTATTGATGAGATCCAAGATGGAGGTGTTAAGAAGATGCTATGAGAATAACATGGCTAATAACATAAATGCAGGACATCATTTATTTTTCCTGCCTTGTGTTCACTTATATTAGATAAATTACAATACCATTTGAAACAAAGAGCTTTGCAGCTCTACCAGTGTATTTCTTGTTTATTCTTGACTTTTTTTTTTAAACAAACAAAAGCATAGTGTGAGTGACCAAATTACAGGTTTAAATGTAGTTCTTTCTTTGGCATTACCCAATGAATATAAGGTTGTTTAGCAATTATACATTCTTAACTGCTAATATTATAGTTTTTACATTGGCTGTGTGCATTTCTCAATACCTACAGTATTTCACGTTTTGAAAAGTCTATAATTAAATTGTGAATATTTTTTCTTTGCCTTGCATTCAGTGACAATTCCTTTAAAATTAAATATTTTGTCACTCAGTCAACCAGAACTTTAATAAAAGCCTATTTTACTAATTTTTACATTTTGAACATAAAAACAAAATATGCACAGTAAACTACAGAATTCATATTTCCACTTCCCGGTATCTCTTATGTTTAAGTTTAAATGATACTGAAATAGAAAATGTGTGATTTACACTTACTAAATTGCTTGAAAAAAAATCCAAGAACCTTAAAGATCTGTTGTTATCCTGCTGTTATCATATTCAGTGTTTTCAAAGTAATTTTGTTATAAGTGAGTTTTTATTGGTGAGATTGTTTGCTACATGATTTATATGATAGACAGATAGATATTTAATTTATACTCCCTCTATTCCTTTAACATTAAAGCACACAGTTGTTCTAAAGTCATTTTAGGTTCCATGACCCAGCTGACCTGCATTGATCTGCTGACATCATGCTCAGATACATAAAAGTAATAGCATGCTGTGACCCAGACTTCTCACATTGAACTTCAGCCAATGTTATTTCTCTGGTACTTTTGCCGCTAGACATTTCCATTTTGATTTACCACTATGGTTCTGTCTGGGTTTGAAAAATGCCTGCAGTGCCCAAGTCATTATTAGTTAATGTCCTCCGTGGCATAAGGGCAGTGATGGCATGGTAGACTACCAGGCCAGTGACCAGTCTGTGTTCCCTCAATCAAATAGATGTTAATGCAAACCAGTCTTGATTTACTATAACAGCAATGCATCTTATTTTCAAGAGTACATTTTTAGTGTTTTTTGTTGTTGTATAGAAGCATGTAATATTGCTATCCTTTTATTTAAATGTAAAGCTAAAGTTAAGTTATGCTCAATGTTTTACTCTTTTTGTTTTGAGGTCAAAAGTTTGAATGCACAAATTACTTGCCTAAATCTTGTTTATTTTGGCTAAATTTGGTCAGAGCCAGACGTCTAACCAGAATCAGACAAATCGTCCCTAAGGTTCAGGCCTGTTTTGTAGCCAGTTAAACTCTCAGAAATGCCTGTGAGCAACCACAAGCACACAAATCCACACACACACACACACACAACACAGCCACATTTTGTGGACTGTGTGAACTTGCATACTCTACAAAAAAGAACACAGGGTATTTTCCACAAAATGATTTATTGTGGTCAAATTTACCCTCTTTTTAAGTGTAGTTCCCTTTACATCAAACACTCCATAGTTGGGAAGAGTTATCGCACACAAACATCAGAAAAAGCAAAAGGTAATACTTTCACTGGAGACTATCCTCTAGATATGGGATTAGGAATGAAAAGAGGAAAGATGCATGTTCACAAGATATATATATTTCATACACAACTGCAGACATATTCTTACTAGCACCCGAAGGTGAGCGAAGAGAACCAGAGGGATTGTGAAGTTTTGAGAGAAAGTGAAGTGTTACTGTGGGTCAGAGGAAAGAGGGGAGTGATAGACTGGATGTGTGTGCTGTATTTAGTAATGTAGATGTCTCACGACAGTGCACAACAGTGCACTTTGCTGAAGCATGTGGCTAGAAGAATCTGTTAACAATTGCTGCTGTTAGTATGGAATTAAGAATTGTCCGGTTCTGAGTTAAATGTCGTATCAAGTGTACTGTTATACTGAGCTGTTGAAAAGGGTTGTGCCACAAAGGCACTAAGTTCCCCAATAGTATAATTTGTTGACGTGTTGTATAAATATCTCAAGCAGTTTCGACTTTAAAATATTTATAACAACCTATAGCATAATCCTGTATAGTCATGTAGATTCTGGTAAACTGTCAAATCTGTATACTGTGGTAGCATCATAGGAATTAATGATTATAATTCAAATCTCTTTGACAACCTTCAATAAGATGTTAACATTTTCATGGCTGTATGGTTATTGATAAAAAGCGACATTAAGATACAGTAAACCTGATCCAAGTTCATGATTTTTAGAATCATGAATTATTTGTCATATCCTTGCAGTGATTTGTTGGCAGTAAAGAGTGAGTTTCCCCTCTTAGTGAAAGAAAGCAGAGAAATGTCAAGGATAATACATTACACATGCACATATCATCCGACCACTCACTCCGTCACTAAGCTATTTATAATTATAGTACAGTGCAATTTTATAAAAGATTCCTAAGTAAAGGAAAGTTTTCAGTTTCTCAACTTTCAATGTACCACAATCTTGATGGCTCTTCTTGGCAACATTAACAAGCTAAGAAAATAAAAATCATAGATGGATAAGATTTGGATGAACAGTGCATACAGAAGAGCTCTCAACATTGAGTGAAATGTTCAGTTAAAAGGATAATCAACCCCATTTGGAGTAAGAGAAGAAAACAATAGTCATCAAAGAAAAACAATAATGTTGAACTTTGACACAAAAGATCACTTTTCATAATCAACTTCATAGGAAATGTCCAAAAAGCAAACTTTATAGTTATAAATAATTTAAGCATTAAATAAAGCAAATAAATATAACGATTGTATTGCTCAGATAAAAACATTAGCATAAATAAATTAAGAACTAGTACAAACTGATGAATAACAATTTTTGGAGTTCAAACATTTAATATTTTACCCTATTTAAAAAAAGGCTGGTGTGAAATTTGTGTAATTTCAAGCTAAAGATGGGCTGTGACAATATAATTAATGAATTCTTTGCTTGTCCAGGAAGAAAAGGTACGAGATGTTATTGTTGTTGTTCTTTTACTACAACAGTTTTTACATACAACTTATGGTATTTCACGTTTTCTCAGGCATTTCTTTTTCTCAGAGAGTTATTTAGAGTTGGTTAGATCATTGTTCTATTTTGCATTTATTCGCAAAGGTAGCAAGCTTCACATTCATATTTTATGCAACTCAGTGTGGCTGGAATATGAAGTTTAATGTAGCTTTTGCATCCTATGATATATTTATGTCACAGTGGATCATGCATACCATTTAATTGTCCTCATATTAAGTGCATTATGTCTGTTGTACATTCAGTTTAACTTTCTAAGGCATTAAAACAATCCCTCAACCTTTGGTGTAAACAATACAATTTAATGAGTTCTTTTTCAGTGATCCATTCATCATCTGTGCGTAAATGAGTACATTTGTAGTTAGTTGTCAATTTTATTGGAGCTGCTCAGTACAGTGTTCATCCACCGACTACTGTATGTATTTAGTCAGTTGTTTAGTTTAGCTTAGCTTCTGCTGGTTGTTTGTATGTTTAAGGAGGTCTGGTTCACACCAAAAACTGTTCTTTGTGTGGTCAATAGTGACAAACCAAGCATTTTCACAACCTGAGACCTCAAAAGATAGACAGATAATTCTACTGAGAAACATTTTTACTGGTTCCTCTATTGAGAATATGGAATGTGATCCAAAATATTTGCTTTTGTGAATGTGTGTACTAAGTTTTTCATTTATTTGCTGTCTAACATCCAACCGCTACCATATCTGGATCATGACAATCACAGCTCAATCTTACATGCAGGGAAAGACTCATCTTGCATAACCACAGAGCTGCTGCTCGCCAAAACCATGATGTTCAAGTCTTGCTGCTTCACATGGGTTTCCTGGTACCACTCCCTCATAACTTCTGTATCATGGGTTGGAATCAGTGTGACCTATCAGTATGATATGCAAATTCATTTTATGGCAGGCATAATATATATATTTATATATATGAATTATGAATCAGACAATTGTAAGAATAATGGTACCTGCACATTATTTCCCCACTGGCTCTTTCCTTCCAACAGAGCATCCAGAACTGCCTTACTGGGCTCCTGTGCTGTTGGATCATTACCACTGACTACATAGTAGGAGGATCGGATCCGTTTAAAGAACTCAGCATCCACATTCTTAGCATTGCAGTGATTTGGTATGTAAACTAGGTCCATATACATTGGAGGACAGTTAGGTACTGATGTTCCACTGCTGGACTTAGTGCTTCCTTAACAACAACAAAAAATATATATGTGAATAAAAAGATCACATATATAAATATATACAGTAAATCTCTGATATTATAAGCAAAGATAAACAACTCTTTAAAAGCTATAGACTGTAGACATATATTCATGTATTTTTAAGGTGTTATAGTACACATGTATTTTTCATGTTTTTAAACTGTGAGTATGAAACCAGAGTTACCTGAAGCATTTTTGGGGAAACATCAGGGGAGATCGACATAGGCCGGGGACTGTCCTCCTTGGAAGGGGAAACTTCTGCTTCTTGCATTGTGGTTGGAGTCTGAACAACAGAGACAGAGAGAGAGTCATCCACTTCTGTAGAATGAGGGGAGCCAACTTCAGCATGAAGTGATGGGGAGACATCATCTGTTGTAGGTTCTGGTAAAGAACTTGTTGCGAGCGATGCTGTTGAAGCAGAGGCAATGTGAGAGAATGTGTCCTCTGCGACAACCTCATCAACTGGAGTGCCAGACTTATCAGATATGGTCCCCTCGGATATGGACATTTTGCTGTCCTCTTTAAATGCTGTGAAATGATTTGTATCAGAAAGGCTCTCTACTTTAGTCGGTGGCAAAGATGTAGCAGATGTAACTGAAGAACTGTCATCAGTTGCTAACTTTTTATCATTATTGTCAGTCTGGCTTGGGGTCTTGTGGTCAAGCTCAAAATTGGAAGATAAATGTGCTTCATAACTCTGTGATTGCTTCTTTCCCATTTGCGACACAGGTACTGCTTCATCAATAGGACTAGCCTCTTTGGGAGAGTATTCCTTGTCACTTGTGATGTCAACAATAATAGGACCCTGGGATTCAGGTGTTTTGTCCAGTGGTAGATTGCCAGCTTTTTCCTCTACTGGGGATTGGTAGTAAGGTGTGTGACCTGAGGACTGAGGAGATAAAGGGCCCTCTAAGGTTTTCTCATCTGGACTGTATGATTCCATTCCTTTTGACATCCCTGCTAATGTGGTTCCCAGTTCAATTGGTGAAGATACACCTGCATGAACATGGTCAACATTCACGTTTTGGTCACCAGAAGGTGACCTGACAAGAGGCAAAGTTGTACTGGTAGCACTGAGCCTGTTTGAATCAAAAGAAAATGTGTCTTTAGCTAAAAACTCCTTGGCAGATTTGTCTTCCTCCAGTGAAGATGGTGGTGAAATGGTGGAAGCTGATGCATGATAGTCATGCCCCTCAGTGGCATCGCTCTTGGAGTGATCTAATTCAGGAAGGTCTTGGAGAGGTGAAAGGGTCTTTCTCTCATTATCTGTAGTCATACCATACCTGACAAAATCTTGGGAAGGAGAATCACTTTCATCATTGGTTGTCTCATCACTCATTACATCTCTTGGAGTAGACATTTCATCCATAGGTGTTGGAACACTTGAGATCTCAATTGTAGACTGAGTGTGTCCAGATGTTGTGTATTCTTCTGGAGGCTCATCTCGATTTTCATCATCAGAGGCAACCTCACTTTCTAAACCTGCTGGTAGTGTTTCATCATGAATAGAAACAGCAGGAGATGCCGGTGCAGATATCTTTGGTGGTGTGGTTACATCAAAACTCTGCAACTCAGTTTCTTTGTCATGTCTATATTGTGGTTTTTCTGCACCGTAATCTGGTCCTTCCTCGGTTTCCTGCTCTTCTTGCTGTCCATCATCTTTTAACTTAGATATTGCTCTGTCTTGCTCATCCACTTCCTCTGTATCTCCCTTTTCTTCATAGTCTCCTATCTCAGATGACTCTTCCAAACCTGTTCCTTCATCTTCAAATTTTTCGCTGGTACCATTGCTTTTTTGATTGGGTTCTAGATCCCCTGGAGTACCACCACATTCCTCCTCAGCTTCTGTGGTTGCTATTCCTTCATCCAGGGACTCTGCTGCTTCTGGAGACTCTTTGCAAGGAGTTATTTCTTCATGCTTAATCAACCTTCCTTGATCAGAATCGTCTATTTTGGTCTGTAATAGGATTTCGTCAACTTCAGCAATCTCCTCTGCTTTCAGAGCCTCAAAGTCTTTAGTGAGGTCTTCTGGAGAAGACATCAGTGACCTCTCTGCCTCAAGAACATCTGTTACACTGGCTTCAACAGCAGGTTCTTCAGCAGTAGCACTTGAGATGGAAGGTGCTTCCACTGGTTCACCAGCATCTTTTTTGGTGGACTTGGACTTAGCCTTCTCTTTGGATTTTGCAGGACTACCAGTGCCCTTGCCTCGTGCTGCAACCTTTGGTTTAGGTGCAGGTTTTTTCACCTCAGGAGTGCTAGGGGCATTCTTTTTCAAGCCACCGACTTTCCTCAAATCTTTTTTAGGTTCTTTTTCATCTTTCTGAGTTTCTTTCTTTTCGTCCTTTCTGCTTTCCTTTAATAGGGAATCTTTCTTAATATCTCTTCTTTTAATTTCCTTTTTCATCTCCTCTTTCTTCACCTTCTCTTCTTTTTTGGCCTTTTCTTCTTTCTTGGGTGTGGGTTTTTCAGCCTTTTTATCAGTCTCACTTTTTTCCACGGATTTCTTTGTTTCTTTCTTTATTGTTTTTGGTTTAAGGTCAACTTTCTTTTTCTCTGGAGTGTCGATTTTGGGTGTTTGCTCAATCTTGCTTTTACTGTCCTTGTCTCCTGTTTTCACTTTTTTCACAAGTGTTTTTTCTTTCTTTTCTATTTTTTGTGTCGGCTCCGGGATTTCCACAGAGTCAGTTTTACTGAGGGTTTTTAGTTTTTCAGGGGATTCTTCTTTGGACTCTTTGTGGAGATTTTTGCTTGGGGATGGCTTTGATGTGGACTTTAGGCTCTCTTTACTATCTGTCTTATGTTTCATCTTTGCTTGTTTCAGTGTTGGTGTGAAATTTGAATTAAGCTCCTTTTGTGTGATCACAGGATGTTTGAGGAAGTCTAAGTGTTTAAGTTTCTCTAGTCCTTCAAGAATATTATTCTGAGTGGAATTGCCTGGAAAGAGAACACGGATGATTTTTTCTGATGGGTTAGCAGGATGCCACACAATCAGTGATGAGATGGAAGACAAATATGAGATTGGGAGCTCTGATTCTTTTTCATTTGGTAACAAGATGGGGGATTTGTCTTTATCACTACCAGTCCATTCTTTCAGGAAGTACTGCAACTCCTTGCTATTCTCTGCTGGGTTAAGAACATACATTTCAAGCTTTCCAACCCCCATTTTCTGGAAAAGTATAATTGGTTCTACTGTATTCCCAATATTTCTATGCAGAGGTTCAGGCTTTAAAGACAGCTTGTTTAGGTACTCCAGCGTGAGACATGCCTCCTCAGCATTTTTCCTAATCCTGTAGTTGGTCTCAAGGTTTTCAAGGTTCTGAGGCATGTTGACAAACATAACTCCAATATCAGGTGAAATCATATTCTTTGTCCAGTCACTGTTAGCTGTGGATCCCTGCGACTGCTCCTCCTCAAGTTCAGCTATTTTGCGCCGCAGCATGCTATTGATACCAGGAAGGTTGTCATCTCCAATGTGTGTGAGGAGAACAGAATCCACTCTGTCCAGATGTCGTACCAGCTTCCAAAAACATGACTTTCTATCAGATCCACCATTAATCAGCATGTTGAAGCCATTAACCGCAAACAGTGCTGAATCACCCCGTCCACCAGGGAAAATATAACAGCATGGTTTGGATAATTTTAGGAACCCTCCTGAAGTTGGAGGTTCAAGCATGTCAAAAGGAGATGGGATTTCTACAGATTCTGACAGGTACTCTGTGAATTCAGAAAGGCCTTCCATTTCTGGAAGGATGGTTGGGGAATTCAGCTTCATATGGATGAAGTCCTGCAAGTTGTGTTTGTCTAGGTTCGAATTTTTCCAGTCACCATGCTCCGGACAGAAAAGAGTTAAACTGGCTTTGTTGGCTGGATGTATGGTGCTTAGACGCTCTCCAATCTATGAGTCAAATGAATGGAAACATTTCACTAAACAAGTTTACTTGAATTTGGATTACCATGTAGAACTCTACTGTGCATGCTAAGTTTTAGCATTTGTTGGCTGTCTGAGAATCTCTCTTTTGTTAAAGCACTGGTAAATATAGCAAACTGAAGCAAAAGGTAACAATCACTCACCTCTTGATCTGTAAAAATGTCAATGAAATTGAAGAGAGAAAAGGAGCCTGACTGGAGAATCAGCTCGCCTGTATTTTCAAAACACTGTCCTGCCAGGACAAGCAGCTTATGGTGGGTTGTGTCTGAGACCATCAGACGTACCTGAGTGTAGATATAAAGTTTATAAAATATTATAATTAAACATTGACTTGACTTTAATTAATCTTGGCTTGCATTTGTTGGAACAAAACCAACACAGCATGTGAAGGTTATTCTAAATTATATACATGCAATTTCTGAATTACCCAGCTAACAGAAGTGCATCTGTTTCTATAAGCTCTTCTATACGCTTTAGTATTACTGAATTGTATTACTTTGGCTTTCTGTCTCTTTTCCTCTCTCTTTCTTGTTCTCTATAAGGGCCAGCATTTTCCAGTTTGTTGCCATTGACTGTTCTGGGCGGTCTGCCAGGGTCAGACCTGCAGTGCTCTATCATATTATTAATGCAGAGTCAAACTGCAGTCACAGTCAGCAGTCAGCGTGTTGTGCGTTGTGAGTTTGTCTGCAACTGTGACACACCCAGTACATACATAACTCTCTGATGTTACTCTCTCATATTAGTGAATTTAAATATTTAACAGGATTTATCTGTGTAGTGTAAAAAATATATGTAATCGTTTTTGTAGTATTAGATGAGTCAACCGTTTTCTGTTGATACTGTTGCCAACACTATAATGTTGTTTTTGTCCTATAGCAGTGGTTCCCAAACCTGTCCTGGAGGACACCCTGCCCTGCACATTATGTATGTCTCCCTAATCAGACACACCCAATTTAGTTCTTGCAGTCTCTACTAACGAGCTGACGAGTGGAATCAGGTGTGTTAGATAAGGGAGACACACAAAAGGTGCAGGGCAGGGGGGCCTCCAGGACAGGTTTGGGAACCACTGTCCTGTACTAGCTGCTATGCATTTATTCTTATCCCCACATATTTGTTTCTGTATTAACCAGATAACTAAAATAGTTTTAAAATATGTTTAAATGGCAGATTTATTATTTAAATATATTTATTGAAATATAGAAAGAGAGTGCTTACCTCAGTGCTAACAGCTTCATCTGAAGGGTTGATGAGCACTACTGTCTCCAACACATTACTTTTGTGATGCAGAATCTTTTGTCCTGCAAATAAAATAACACGTTACTAATACTCAGTGTGATGTGCACAAACTGCACATAGGGATCTTCAAATGCTTTGGTTTGTGTTGTACACTGAATTAGACAAATATTATGAATACACCAATATATTTAAAGAATTGTCTTCACTTAACACAAAACACAAATGCTGATGCTTAAGGAACCACAAAGACAGAGACTGCAGACCAGTCACCCTTTTCTTTTCACTACCATTCTTTCAGCTCCTTTTGTTATGCATATTTGCCTTATTGTGTTTTAAGTTAAATTTGTAGTCAAAATGGTTATGATGGTCAGGGGGTTGTTTTTTTATGTGACATCTGTCTCACTTAATTACCTAGTGTGTACTCATGCACCTACCCTCTCCTGCTTAAGGAACCACAAAGACCGAGACTGCAGACCAGTCACCCTTTTCTTTTCACTACCATTCTTTCAGCTCCTTTTGTTATGCATATTTGCCTTATTGTGTTTTAAGTTAAATTTGTAGTCAAAATGGTTATGATGGTCAGGGGGTTGTTTTTTATGTGACATCTGTCTCACTTAATTACCTAGTGTGTACTCATGCACCTACCCTCTCCTTCTCTTCCTCATTTCTCTATACGCTCTATTGACACAGATATCCAATTAACCTCTGCCCTCCTCCAGCAACTAGTCATCCTTTCTCTTTCAATCACCTCATGGGTGGAACATGAAAAAGCTTCTAGTATTCCACTGTGTGTTCGCTTTTCTCTGCTAATGGAGAATTTTTTCCTTGTACATCCTCTCCACACATGTCCTTTGACTATATGACTATATTGACAATGTATTTCTGCCTTTGATTTTTCAATATCTTTTTTCCCCATCCCCTGCCCAAATGGCTCTCGATAAAGTGAAGTTAAAATCTCCCAATCTCTCTCTGGGTGAATCAATCCTATTATAAATTCATCAAGCTGTCCAGAAGCAGTGAAGCTGTAAGCTTGCAGGAATCGGTCAACTCTGTCACTGTCGGTACTAGAGTGTTTGCTATTACTGCAGAGTCTATGAGCCCCTTCTGTAACATCAGCCTCATCACTCAATCAGCAATTGTTGTTCATAGTCTCATAATCCCCCTCTGAGGTTGTTTGTAAAGGTTCAGTGACCAGGTGCTCCATAGGTGCTGAAAATTGCTTGACGAATAAGGCCTTAGTTATCTAAAATTTCAAGGTCTAAATCTAAAACACAAGAGGACACGCACAATTTTTCCATTTGCACGAAACAGTGCACAACCTCTTACATGCCTGGTCACACCACAACCAAAATGAGTTGTAAAAAAGCCTTGTAGATAAATGACATGATTTGGTGCACAAGGGATTTTACATTGCAGATATTAGGTCTCATTCACTAAAGTGTGTAAAACCTGCATGCAAACTTTCTCGCACATGTAAGTTTGAACTGCAAACTCCAAATCCCATCCTGGATTTGGCAAGGTGTATTATGCTAATTACTAACTGCAGGCACATTCTCCTCGTATTTAGAATAATCTGGATTCAGTGACATTGACAAAAACTGCATATGCATTTAGAAATTTTGCATGAGAACCTTTGTTGGAAAAAAGGCACAGCTGTATGCAGTTATTATTAGTGAATGTGACCCAATGTCTTACCTAAACCTCAGAGAGGTCTATAAAGACATCTCTATTGTATTTCTCTCTCATCATCCTATTTCATATATTTGTAGGTTCTGTGTGGGTTTTAAAGACTGTTCTCCTTATTAGGATGGAATATGTTTGTGTGAGTCTATATGTGTGTGTGCATAAATCCAGGTGGCTCTCTCATGCAGTGTAAGTAATTACAGTGTGTTTCCCACCTGCTGAGTCATCATTAACGCCCCGAATTCATTCCTTTCCATATTCCCTTATCTCACCATATTCACTGTACCTGTATTTGTTCCTTCTATTATTTTCCCTGCATTTTTTGCTTTTTCTGACAGCTCTCCACAAAATATTTCTGTATGCAAATAAAACCTACATTATATGCATTACATTTCAGAGAAATACTGAAGAAATACTGTAGACAACCAGGGCAACAACCATTGAATGTGTGAGGTTTTTCCTAAGGGTAGTGATTAATTAGTGTTTAATTTTAATTTTATGTGCATCTGCCCCCAAGAACACACCATTTTTAAGTAGGTATACAGCATATCTGAGACTCCACATCCCAATATGGGCCACTCTCTTTTTGATCATTAGTAGTGGGATTTAGAGTTCCTTTGGGAGAATCTGCTTTTTTCAAGATCAGTATGAGGATGGAAGGGAAGAGCTATGGAATAGAAATAGAGAAATATAATGCATCTGACTATGCTGAAATTGACATCTGCATAGCAAGTGGAGCATACTTGATGTAGGACACACTGTGGCTTCATTTCTTCTCCACAGGGGTGTTCTGAGGTGTTGCATTCATTTCACTGCAGTACTCTCTGCTCTACTTTAGCTGCAGATAATCTTCAGAGCATAGACATCTGTGTATTGGTAATAAATGATTCTCTTCTAACCTAATTTATTTTCTCCTTGCTCCTCTAAATCCGAGCAGGTCCGTTAGTGGCAGTAACCTGTCACGAATGCTATTCCAGCTGCCCAGCACACACCCAGAATCGTGCAAGCAGAAGAGCGGCATCATTAGGGCCAGACTCACACCAGGGGGAAGCCCATTTATGCGACAAAAACAGCTGCTGTCGGGAACTCCGAAGAGGTGAAGAGAAAAAATGTGATTAGAATCAGTGGTGCGAACTAAAGTTCGGACAAATTACGCCATGGTCGATAGCAGAGTTGTCGTCTGCTCTTGGAAAATGTAGCTGCTGCCATCGACTATTATCCACATGGGTGAGTAAAATGGAGCTTTTATGATGAAATGATCCCCACCATACCTTGATTTAAACCTGACATCAAAATGTTTTGCTCTGCTTTTTCCCCCTACACTGTTGTTTTGAACCCCATCAACTTGTATTGTATGGGTTAATACAGTTGAAACAGATTTGTCAAAATATCTCCTTTTGTGTTCAGCAGAAAAAAAGGCCATACAGGTTTGGAACAATATCAGTGTGTGTAAATTAGAGAATTGGGTCAACTATCTCTTTGATTTCTGTCAAATAGATTTTACAGGTGCTATAGGTAGATTTTTTTTTTGGAAATATCACATACACTCTTAAAAATAAAGGTGCTTCATAATGCCATAGAAGAACATTGTTGTCTAAATGGTTCCATAAAGAACCGTTAACATGTTTCACAAAAGGTTCTTTGTGGCGAAAGAAGGTTCTTCAGATTATAAAAAGGTAAGAAAGAGATGGTTCTTTAAAGAACCTTTTACTGAATGGTTCTTTGTGGAACCAAAAATGGGGTTCTTCCATGGCATCGCTGTGAAGAACATTTTAAGCACCTATATTTTTAAGAGTGTATAAAATGTCTCCACCACCTTAGTCATCAAATCTGGATCAAATCTGTCTCTGACACCTGTCTCTACACTGCACTCAAAAAAAAAAAAATCAGGTGGCGGACCACCTTTTTTGTCCATCAGAAAACAACAAATTCGAAACCTTCTTTTCAAGTGAATCATTATGCATGTTCAGATTTGCTTAGATTTTTTTGTTTGTGAGAGGGCATGTGGTTGAAGTTAGAAAAAAGGCAGAAGTCAGCAAAATGTCTGAAATTTATTAAGGCACCTTAAAACAAACCATATCATGTTGTAGATATGTAAAAATTATAAACCTATTGGAAGCTAAGCAGGCATATTTGATTGTCACCTAAAAGCTGGGCTACTTCCATTCCAGTTTGATTCTGGGAGCAGATGTGTCAGCCGCAGTATTGTTTAACTTCCACTAGCTTTGCTCTTCCATACTCACCCAACCCCGTCCTCACCCCACCTGTCCTGATCTCAACTCGCACTGTCTCTGATACAGAATGAACACCCTTTGGGCACGTAGCCTCATCTAATGCCACTCAGCACAACACATATACAAAGCAAGCATCCACACAAATGCAGTGCCATGAACATGAACTCGACTTTCTCCCTCACTTTGTCTCTCTCCAAACCTCTGTCCTGCCAAAATAGGATTTTGAACAGGACATAGCAGAGCCCTTTCGAACACACATACGAATAGTTAGAAATATCAATACAACTTATCACAGTTCCTCTTAAAAACATTTAGTCCCATAGTGTCATCAACAAAAACACAACACAGACACTAAAAATTTCTGCAGCAGAAATCTCTTTGACCAAATGGAACGTTGAAGAAAAAGCTTCATGAGATGCATATTAATCACTTTCTAGCCCATTCATCAAAGCAAAGCATATCAGACATAATTTTAGGCTCAGTTTTATACTTACAATGACATTAAAAGCTCTATTCCTTTATTTATTTATTTATTATTAATCAACATCAAAACAAAGATATTATATAATTGTACAAAAATCTATATAACAACAAAACAAACACCCCCAGGACAGTATGACTTTACTATAAAACTGTATTGAAATTCCTGTATATTAATTAGATTTTATTTTTACACTTTTTTCACAGAAGAAAGAATTTCATACATGTTTGGAACAACATGAAGGTAAGTGAATGACAAACTTTTGGATGAACTGTTCCTTTAAATCGTCAAGTTGTTGAAATAATATATCATAATAATTGACCTAAACATGTATAACATTGCCAGTTCATATATCATACTGTTAATATTAATAATATCACAGAATTCCAGGTGAACAGACAGTATGTAAATACACAGTAGACTGTGCAATCATTTGTTATGTGCTTATTGATTACATTACAGAAGCTGATTCATTACTATTGATTATATGCTGCACTGATGCTGTGCGAATCTGCTGGACTGTGATAGCTGATCTAATTTTAAACCTCCAGGCACATTTTTAAGCTTCAGTCTCGACTCAAAGCAATGAAAAAGTCAAAGTTTAGGTACCATATGCTTATCATCTAAAGGCCCTGAAGTACCTCAAAAGCAAAGGGATCCTCCATGTTCCTTTTATCTCCTGAGCCTCATACCTCTCTCATAATTCTTTCTCAAGCATGCTTTCTCGTCTTTTTTTTTATTTTATTTTATTTTATTATTTTTTTTTACTGTAATCTCTTTTCTGAGTTTCACACTGTGATTCATCTTCTGTTAGTGATTCTGACTGGGGCTCCAAGCATTTCAAAGGCATTGGGATGGTATTTTGTACAAAGGAGTTCATCTAAAATAGATGATTTCCTGTTTGTCCATTCAATTTGTTTTTGTGTGTGTGTGTGTGAGTCTCAAGTCTTCCTGTGCTCTACACAGGCCTCCGACGTCTGGCCTCCTCCCTGCTAATAGTAATAACCCACCTTCTCTCTGCCCCCATTTATCTGTCTTGCCCTCCGAGAAAAACCCAGTAGGAGAGTTCAACAGATAATTATCCTACAACTCTCTTGTACTCTACGTTGAAAACTATTAAAAACTAAATTCAATTAAAATCCTTTGAAAGTAACAAGTTACAAAATTGGAATTGCTGTAAAAAAAGGAGGGGGAGGCTGGTGGGTTAAAGCAATTATCAAGACATCCACTAGGTATTTGTCTGTGGTGGACAGCTAATGGCTTTGCATTTATAAAAGGCTTAATGGCCAAAAGCGGCACAATGCAAATTCCTCTGTTCATTTTCTAAAAAGCTTCGTCTAAAGCCACCCATCGAGCAATAAATCTGATTATGGAAATGAACCAACACCTACATGTGTCATGTTTATCCTAAAGGGGGGATTAGTAGCCAATGATATATTCATGCTTTGTCCTCCTCCGACAGCCATTCAGATAAGTAAATAAGAATTCCACAGTGAATTCTGATGATCTCAACAAAGTAATAAGCTTTGCTGCCTAACGGCAATACCGGAACTGTCTCAAGTGCTTCCTGTACTAACATATATAATCAAGGAGACAGCCATGATGAGTGTAATTTATTGTGCTATTAAGCTATAGTGTGTGTGTGTGTGTGTGTGTGTGTGTGTTCAAGCACAGATTACATTTCAGTCATTGAAGGTCAGTGTTGGCTCATCATCTGCTTACGTTAGCAGACTGAGAGTCTCTCTGGAAGATATTTCCATTATGGTTAAACCCCCACAATTTCCTGCTGTTTTGTGAAAAATGCTGTACTATTGTTCAGGTCTGACTGCATTTGAAGCCCTATGTGTTAAGCCTTGAGTTCAAAAGCAGATCAAACCATTGTCATTAATTTTTCAACTAATTATCTTACATCTAGCGTTTCATCCCTTGCAGCAATTCAGCATGAGAGAGGAAAATAGAGAAAATGAAAGATCCGAGGGCAGACAGACAGAGCGAGTGTGCAGGGAGGACAGAGGAGGGGACACCAATGACAGGGTTTGATCCAGACAGAGCTTCAGGCAGACCGTCTAAACCCACCTCTTTTATCTTCATCAAAAGAATTCATCAAGCTCACAAAAAATCAGAATGTAAAAGAAAATATGACTTTACTCCAGATATAGAAGAGGGTTAAAGATAGAAAAAAATGGGGAAGCTAATAAGGTCTATTAATTGTGGTTATCTCACCAATGTTTAAGTGCTAATAAACTGATAAGGATCACTTTTACTTAACAGCTGAAGCATGACATTACGTAACAAAATATATTGCTGTTGTGATGGGGATGTTCATAAGAGTCACAGAGCTGTGTACTGTGGAAGAAATGTAAACAGGTGTAATGCAGATATAGATTCAGGCACAAAACCGCTGAAGTGATTGACACCGCTTTCATCCCCTACAAGCTGATTTAGTTGGCACTGATTTTTTAAAGCAGATTTTCTAGCTGTTTTAATGACCTTGGAACATGAGAGATTTTGCTAAGTCATGGTAATGCTAATTCTTATATGGAAAAAAATAAGCAGTACAAAATACTTGCTCTTTAATGTACCACTATTGAACTTGGGGCTCGCTTGTGTTTTAAATTTGTAATATTAGGTTATCATAAATTGCTACATAAGAGTTTTGAGCTGGCTAAGGGATCATGTTCAGCCTACCTTTCACGTCGGCTGAAAACCTGGCAGAGTGTCGAGAAACAAAAAGCTTCAACTCCTGGTCCAGGTTACAATCAATCAGGTTTGTGTCCCATGAACGAATTCCTGCAAACCAGAGGGAAAAGTGTGAAAACACAAAAAGTGTTGCACTTTTTACAGATCATGAAGAGATCATGAACATACTTTACTGTACACTGGATCAGTCTAAAAGGGGAGGTATTCAAATCAAAATCAGATTGAGTTTCAGATCTTTCCTGTATATTGAATTGAAGACCAGTGTCACTAAATTCACGTAACTAAATGCCATGCTCTGTTGGTTTACACCCAAAAGTCAATCAATGTATGGAAATATCTATGAAATGTTCTGAGACTGGACGTCTGTGCTAATTCTCTTTATGATCAATGGTTAGCCAGAAGAGAAATTTTGTGTTGAAGAGGACATTTCTTGAAATTAGAATGTAGTGCTATCTGCCTCTGAATGGTAAAACGTTAAGAAGGTTGTTCACATGGTTCATGACAAACATGAGCATGATACTTACTCCCCTCATGGGATCACAAAAGAATATTTCTCCTAGCTATATTTCCTCTACCACACACAATTCATAATGTATGCCTTCAAGGCAAGTATAATAATACACTACTATTACAATGGTGACTTTATGGTTTCCCTTATGAAGCACTGCTTTGCTTTTTTTCACCTCCACTTCTGGCTTGATTATTTGGTTGTTTAAAATTTAGAAGATGCCAGATCTCGTTTACTCACAAAGTTCCACAAAACAATTGCACAGGTATTGTTTGATTTAATTTCAGTGATTAATACAATACAAAAAAAGTAGTTTTGTTTATTACAATGTACAGCAGTAAAACTTCCAGTAAAGTGAATCTTGTAAGAAGTAAATCTAAGAAAAATCGTGCGTTGTTCAGTATCATCAAAGTGATGATATGAATGATTCATGAGTGAGCGTATGCCTACTGGAAATAGCCTACGTTTAGGGCAGTTTTATCTACACATCACAAAACTTTTAATTAATAGCGTTTTATTCAGAAATGCAAGACATTTTTAAGCCAATACGTGTAAATGCAGCCTATAGTATTTTGTAATGTAAATTATAATTAGATTATAAATACTTGTTTATAAGTTAAATCATGGCTGCATTGCAACAAGCTCAAAGGGACACATACAGTTAGGCTACAATAAACACCCTTACTAATAAGATGTAATTAAAAACGCAATATGTGCTATTATTGGATCAATTAGATGTAGGAACACGTGACTACATAATTCGGAGCAGGCGAATCTGTTATATAAATATATATATATATATATATACAAACCGTTGAATAGAATCAATCACTCAAATCAATCGAGTCCCACTACTAACTGAAACTCCCTTTTTGGCAGGAACGCGGGGCCCTTCTGACTTTCCGTAGGGACTGCAGTGCGGACCGCGCCACGCCTACAAGCCGGTGTCGTAGGCTACTAGAAAGGAGTGAGTATGGAAATAAATCGGGATGCGCAGCCAGCAACAATGTCTGTAGGTCTGGTGAAGAGGACAAAAGTTATGGCTTTTGCCATGCAACGCCACTTTTGCTAGTTATACAATACAGCTAGCTATTTAATACGATTAACTCATTCAGTGATAAACTGAATTAATTATTTACTGAAAATAACTCTCGTGGTTATTTAATGTGATTCCCGCATGAACAAGATAGGAAGATAGTAAGAAAAACACGAGCTAAGGAAACAAAGAACTGGCGCGCCACATCAAAAATCCACGCAAACCCAAGGTGATGGTGCACATCATGACTGCAGAGCCGATCGATGCTCCATATAACGACCCTCCACCCCGCAAAACAAGAGATGCGCCTTATTGATCGACAGACTATAAATATGCATGCTGAATCATCCTAGCCCACGACACAAGTCAGACACTAAAGTTCGTCATATGGCCAAAAACAACATCTGGATCATCAGATAGAGCTGCACGCCCTGCGAAAACAGTGATGGTGCTGATGTCTTTGGGAAACGGGGTGGCGCGATGCGATGGCTTTGATAAGACATGCATTGCACTCGCCAGTTACTAACAGGGAGGGGCTGCGCTACAGTTCCCATCCTACATGTTCTCACAACAAAGAAATCCAATAAAATGATGCATGGAAAGTTTCTTGCAGTCAGCAGAAATGTGTGGCTAGATTCCCCCATTCAAAACACCTATAGGCTATTCAAGGTTAGACTATTGAACTTGAAAAGGCAACTGCAGAGAGCATACGCGTCCAGGCATAATTGAAAACAGATTCATGGCATAAATAGCACTAAAGCACTGCACGTTATTCGTGTCAGCTGAGCTACCTTTCTCAATGTCCGCAATGGCACACTTCAGATGCTCGTCGGTGACCAGCTCCCCGATGACCACCAGCAGGTAATATTTGCCCTCGTCGAAGTGATGTGTCGAGGCCGTGGGTGATGCCGTGTTCCTGATGCTACTGACACCTCCGAAGGGTGCTGGAGGATCTACAGTATCAAGTAGCGTCGCCATTCTTTCAGACACTCGGCTCTCTGTCCGGCAACCTGAAGTGAGCTGCTCTCTGAAGGCGTGCAGCGGGCGCAGAAGGAGTGGCCCGGGCTTTTATATCCTCAGACTGTGTGTCATAGTGATGAGGAACCGCTGCTGCCTCCTCTCATCCAGCTGATGTCATGCAGCAAATCATAAAACTGCGCGAGACCAATCGGAACGGTGAAAAGCGTTACATAATTAAAGCAAGGATGTCCAGGATTTAGCGTTAACATTGCACTGACTTGTTGACATGTGGATTGCGCGTCAATATCTATAAAAGTTCAGCACTGACGACATAAAACAGCCATGCCAATGAAGTTATTTGAAAATGAATAGAAAACAGCCATGCTCTCTATAGCCTATTTCTAAAGTATCTCAATAATACAACATAATTCACATTTAGGCTACAAGTATTGATATTCTGTATATTTTGAATACAATTTGCAGGAGTAATATCGTTTTTATGAGTTCCCAATCTCACATCTGGGCTGCCATTTCCTTTGCACTGGGTTGTGTATTTCACAAAGTTTGTCTTAAGCATGTCCATTTACACATTTCACTTCCACAAACAACAACAAAAAGAAGAAAAAAGTGTGTGTGTGTATATATATATATATATATATATATATATATATATATATATATATATATATATATATATATAATCATAAAGAAAATACTATTTTATTTAGCCTAGTGACATTATTTGCATAAAATAAGCCCCCTTAATTCTCATTAATGTGGAAAGAATGATATATAAATTATAAAGCATTTATAGGCTACATCAGTGGTATTTATTGTACTTATTTTATGAAGCAAAATAGTTGAAAATAATGTCACCATGTTGAAACGAATAGTGCTAAAATAGGCTTTATTATTGTATTTTTTCTGTTTTTGTTTTTTTTAAATATTACCTGGACATGTTTTTTGGACAGGTGAAATTCACCCATAGTAGTCAACATTTGAAGCGAATCAAAAAAGTTAATCAAAGTTGTCTTAAGACAAGAACGGGGATTGTTTTGGTTTTAGGACAACTTTGATGAAAGGGTTCGATCCACTTCAAATGTTGTGGATTTATTACATTACATTATTTATTATATTACAGTTGTCAAATACTGTAATATAACATAACTGTCACCCTCAGTTTTCATGTAATTAGTCTTTTTACTGCAGCGCTTCTCAGGTACACAACATGGTATCTATAAAAATGATTTAATAATATATTTCCAGGAATATATTTTCTATATTTTTTATGTTTTTATGTGCTTCTGAAAGACTAACATCTGTCTATATTTTGCTGTGCTCTTCCCACTGATGCAGAAGAGGGTGTTCCTCCTGGTCCCGTCTTGATGATGTCATTTTAGGCAGAGTCATTGCACATATTTTACTGTCCCATTTTAAAGGTGGATGCACTGTAATACAGCTGTGTCATTGGGGTTCACCTGGAGCTGTGCGGCAGATTTTGTGCATTTAGCACTCGTACGCAGGTTACTGCTGTATATGAAATCGATAAACACACCAATTTATGTATTTGTTCTTAAGTTTATGTTTATTCAGTGTTATTTTCATTCGTGATTGTTAATGGCAAATTTGTTTTGTCATGTCACTAGCTAGTTTTATGAACTTTTGTTTTGCATTTCCTGCAGCTGTTTCAAATGAACCTGTTATCTACAGTATGTAAATATTTCAGTAAGATAAATCAGCGTGTCAGTCACTGCAGTTTTGAGCACTGGAAGTGGGGCATGATTCAGCACATCAAACATTCAGTATATTACATCTGGAAAAGTGGAAGCCTGTTTTAAATAATTTATAAGACCACATGTGAACCAATCAGAGGTGTTTTTGTTAAATGTAGTGTGATAATAAAGTGTGGAAGGGTGCATGATGTACAGTGACAGAATGGAATATGCAAGAAGAAGTGAAATGTTAATATTGTTAGTTGAGGTGTTAATATTGAAAGTATGTGTAACCACATGATTTTGTATTTCTGTAGGCTATACGGTGCTAGTCAAAAGAGAGAGTGTTCAAATTTAAAACAGAATTAGGAGATTACGTTTCCTTGAGTCAATAAAGGGGAATGAAATCGGAATAGAGTGAAGGAAGAGAATGAAATCATTTCAGCAACAATTATGTTAAGTGGTGTCTATCATGACAACGACATTTGTTGCCATGGTAGCTGTGCCATGGGACCACAGTCAGCCCATCACTGCATGGGGCACAAGATTAAACAATCATCATTGCTATGGAAATGCCCAGTCTGGCATATGAGTGACCAGTGACAAAATATGATATGGTCATGTTTGATCAGTTTTTCTAACAACTAAAAATTACACAGATGTGCTTACAAATGTACTGTCTTCTATAATTCTGTTCAATTTTAAAGTATTTCTTCCACACTGATATTTACAGTAAGTAATTTACTGTACGAAACTCACATACTTTCTTGCAACACATGACAAATACTGTCATGGTTAGCTCCAACACAGGTTATTCCTAGATGAGGATTTATAACAACTTTTAGTTTGGAATTAACAAAGGAATGAAGAGCAGAACTAGTCTTATTCTGGCAAATCCTTCTGTGTACTAGACACTAACTCAACAGGGGGCACTCTGAGTGTATAAGCGCATACCCTAATGCCCACATGCTCCCATTATGCTCTGAGTTTTGTGAAAGACACACACACAGCAACTTATCTAAGCAGTCTTGCGGCAGCATTGTGGTCAAATGCACCTGAAAATAAAATTATCTCAGTGTAATTATTGTGATTAACAAAACATGACATTATGTCAGCCTGTGAAAACTAGCAAATTACAGGAAAGTCTGTTTTCCTCTGCAGGGCAAGCAGGAAAACAGTATAGCAGCTTGACAGTTTTTGGACTGAATAAGTGTGTGGTGTTTTGATGAGTCAGAAGGACCTCCCACTGACCTGTCTCTACAGAGTGCCTTGCTCTGTCTGAGTCTGCCATCTACACAGTGGTACACACTGTCTGCCTGTCATATTAACAAGCACTATAAATGGGTCAAATAAGGTAAAAGATGGAAAATATAAAATGCAGTTAAAGAGCAATTATAGAGGTGTAAGATAATTCATATAAAATAATATTTTGAATCACTGTCATTATCCAATACATTCCACATTTTTTAAAGATGAAAAGAGGTTTGGGTTCAACAATGCAAATGTAACATTTCATTTACACTGTGAAAAAAGGACACATCTGGGTTATTGTAGCTAACTAAAACTAAAACCATAAAAAGTGTTACTTGAAATAAAATAAAATAAAATATAGCAACCTTTTTATTTCAGCAAGTTGACAAAGGTCATTTCTCATTAGTTCAAACTGATGTACTCAAATAATTAAAACTAAAACTAAAATTATTATTTTTTTAATTATACAGGCAAAAGCAATCAAAAAAATGTCAAAAAAACAACAACATTATATGTACACACATATACATACATATTTGATCCATTTTTTTATTGGTGTAATCAAATGTTGTCAGGTTGATTCTGTCATAAATAATATTTTGGATAAAACCAGTTCTTTTTTTTTTAACTTTATGAAGCAACATTACTATGCATTACTATTATGAACATATTTTTACTATGCATATTTTTCATACAGAAAATGTTTACTATGTATTATGCGCAATATGTATACTAATGGAAACAGAAAGAAGTTTTCTATTAGGCTATTTCAAACCACAGCATGATTATCTGTGGACCTCTAAACGTGATCTGTTCACGAATCAGAGCGTAATCAGTATTGTGCTCCCCCCTAGTGTTCTGATGAGGTGTCACACAATGCCACAGCGTCTTTCTAATTCCTAGTTGGGCTTGTACTTTTCACGGCTTCTACAGAATTAGCCTACAAATCCTGCCCTTAAAACAACAACATTATATGTACACACATATACATACATATTTGATCCATTTTTTTATTGGTGTAATCAAATGTTGTCAGGTTGATTCTGTCATAAATAATATTTTGGATAAAACCAGTTCATTTTTTTAAAAACTTTATGAAGCAACATTACTATGCATTACTATTATGAACATATTTTTACTATGCATATTTTTCATACAGAAAATGTTTACTATGTATTATGCGCAATATGTATACTAATGGAAACAGAAAGAAGTTTTCTATTAGGCTATTTCAAACCACAGCATGATTATCTGTGGACCTCTAAACGTGATCTGTTCACGAATCAGAGCGTAATCAGTATTGTGCTCCCCCCTAGTGTTCTGATGAGGTGTCACACAATGCCACAGCGTCTTTCTAATTCCTAGTTGGGCTTGTACTTTTCACGGCTTCTACAGAATTAGCCTACAAATCCTGCCCTTAAACAAAAATACTTAGTGGTCAGTTCAAAACAAGCACTAGATAATGTGTTTGATCATTCCGGGTGCACATATTTGTTTAATTATTAAAATACACCAGTTTCTTACAGCTGTACATTTTGTGCATGGTCATCTCCCGAGTCCTGAGTCCTAGCCTACTTGTCTAGTTCAAAGAGGCTTCAGATTATTATTTATTCAACATGAAATGATTTGATCACATATTTGTTTAATTATTAAAATACACCAGTTTCTTACAGCTGTACATTTTGTGCATGGTCATCTCCTGAGTCCTAGCCTACTTGTCTAGTTCAAAGAGGCTTCAGATTATTATTTATTCAACATGAAATGACAATACTATTGCCTGTAAAATATTGCCTGACCAGTCATAACTGTATTAGCCTGCCTTATGAATAGTGGGACGTTTTATTAATGCTCCACAAGGTGTCACTATCATTCTATCTTGCATGTTCTCCTCTTATGAGTCCTTATTCAAGCACATAGGCCTTGTGATTCGGGGGTGGGGGGGGCTTATGGTGAACCTTATGGTTATGGCTTATGGTTTCTCTTTGTCAGTAGGCAGTGCCTTTAACTACATGTCTGAACAGCCTTTGTTTGTATAAAGGGGATTGTGTCATGAGTCATGTTTTATCCAGTCAGTTTATGGCTCTTTTAAAACCTCTTTAGCTCATCTACGGTTTTAAATTAGCCATGAAGTTAAATCTTTTAATTTGCGAATCGTCATGGGTATGTCAAATGATACCCTCATCACTCTTCACATAGTGCCAG